TACTATTTTTGAATGAACAGTAAATGTCTGGATATTGAATTTATGAATTTTGTATGTATAAACGGTTAGCTTTAAGATAGACGGCAGTAATAATGATATCTTTAGCTAGTAAAAATGTTTGATTATTTATAATAGTGTATCATAACGTATCAATGTATATCTAAGAACTAAAGAATGACAAAGAAGAAGAAGAAGGAGAGAGAGAGAGAGAGAGAGAGAGAGAGAGAGAGAGAGAGAGCCCTGACTCCGCCCCTGGTGGAAGCGAGAGAAAGACCAAGGGCAGAGGAGAGCGAGAGAGGCAGCCTCACCTGACGCCGTCGATGGTGTGCTCGGAGCCGAGGCTGGAGTCGTGCCCCCAGTGGAAGTGGAACTGAGCGAAGATGTACTCGCCCTTGAGTCCTCCGTCGCGCACGCGGGGCGCCGCCTGGGCGTCCATCTCAACCTGGGCTGGAAGGGTAAGAGAACGGCGTCAGCTCAGAGCCCACGCTGGTCATCTCAGCGCTTGCCAAGGCAGAGTGAAGCGCAGAAAATGCTTTATCTCCAAATCAACGTTTGTGTATGTGTGTGGTCTGTGTGTAGTTAATGTGTGTTTTGGGGTGATTTGTGTGTATGTGTGTGTGTGTGTGTGTGTGTGTGTGTGTGTGTGTGTGTGTGTGTGTGTGTGTGTGATTGAGTATGCGTGCCTGTGCCTCTTTCCCCAGAGGTGGGAGATCAGGTGCAACAAAGGCGAAGACGCACCGGAATGGCCATTGTTCTTGATGCGCATGCGCGTGGGAGGCTGGTCGTAGTTCTTGAGTATGAATGGACGCCAGTACTCGACATTGACATTGCTCGTCTCGATGTTGATGGGCGACTGCCGCTGGCCGCTGCAGGACCTGAAGATGGAGCCCCAGTGCGCCGTCCCTGGGGGGAGGAGCGGAATGCAGGGCTCAGAGTTCACGCGTTGAAGGCGTGCAAACGGTTAAACGCTTACAGTAATAATAACATACTGTTCGTCAGCCTTTTACACGAAAGAGGTGTGTTTGATATCAAATAATGTAGTAAATCTATATTTACAAGAATGAAATAATAAGGTAAGGAGAGGCCAACTTAAAGGACAAAAAGGACCTAAGAGAAAAAATTAAAAAAAATCTTTACTTAAATAGCAAGGAATACGCCTGGTTAACTACGAATGACTGATGCCAAACAAATGCAGCAGATCAAGGTCTTGTGAAAACGCTGATAGTCACACTCACCATGTTCCCCTGTGTAACCCCACTGGGCTCCGCCGGCGGCGAGGGATTCTGAAAGAGAAAGAACAACGTTAAAGCGGTATGTCATAAAACTGTAACAATTGTAATGCAATACTGGCTTTGTTCATCAAGCCCATCTTACGAAAAAATCGAAGACAAGCGTTAAATTCACCAAGTTAAACGCGGTCGCTACAATATGCCGTAAAATAAGGGGAACAGCCGGAAAGTCTTTTGCGGTTACAAGAAAATGTTTGAGAAAGTTAGGTGTCCATCTCACGAGCCGGAGCAGATGGGATCGAGTTTGATGGCACCTGAACCACCTGCGAGGAGGACCATAACACGGGCCGGGTACTCCTTCCAGTCTGTCTCCCGGACAAGGGGATCCAAGCCTTTTCGGCCCAGAGAATTACCACGGCTTCCGAAATTTTCCCGGAGAATCCTGGGTGGAATTCTTTGCGGATTCAACCCCAGAGCCTCTGAGATGCCCGTTCGCTATCTCTAGAAAACTTCTGTTAAGATCCGGAATAAGCATAACAACGGGAAGGTGAATAAAAGGCGAAAAGGTGCACAGAGAGATAGATCGGAAAGTTGGCCTCGGGAAGGGAGGCAGAGGAGGACGCCGTGACATCGCTTACAGGATCAATATGCTTTCTTGTGGCGGGCAATGGCAGAGCGCTTAACAACTACTGAATGCAAAAGCGTAATTACCATTATGATTTATATTAATATTCACATATCGTCCTGCCTTACGCTAGGCAACTCCATAGCATTAGAATACCTTTCATAGTAGTAAAGCTATGAAAAAGGGAGGCATTGAACTAATAGTGACTTCATGGTCTTCTGAACTACGCGAGCACAGCGTTTCATGGGCTCAGAGGGGAGTCGGAGAGGGAGGGGCACCCCCCCCTTCTCTCCTCGTCCAGCCAAGGGTGATAGAACCCGATGGATAAGGTGCTACATCGAATGGGCGGCGACGGCTAGGCCTCCCCTCTCGTTCTCTGTCCGGGTGTTTCCCCCCTACTCACTCGCTCTCCTTCTCTCCCCTTTCCCTCTCTCTCTCTCTCTCTCTCTCTCTCTCTCTCTCACTCACTCTCGTTCTCTCCCATTTACACTTTTTCTCACAAAAACTGTCCTTAAAGTTCAATATAGTTTCCGAGGCCCCGCCCCCTCCTATCTCCATTGCCAACAGCATTACCACCGTATCAGCAGCTAAATAATTTCCCTGCCCCTGCCGCTCCGTCCACCGCCATCCCCATCCCGCCCCCTCCCAACAGCGACCGTGGGCGGCCCTGCCATCACCTCTGTTCTTCCTCCATCCCTCGTCTGCGCGAGGTAGACATCACGCTAATAGCTGCTATAATCGTTGCAGAAATATTGCAGGATTATCAATCATGAGATGCTAGTTATTGATCGTCACTTGCCGGTTTAATGGCGTGCGGAGGGCGGGCGTGCGGAGAGGAGGGGCGGCGAGGCGGGCGGGGAGGAGGAAGGCGAACAAAATGTGAAGAGTATCGTTTTCACAGAAGAAACTGGGCTATTGATCCGACGTCAATATCTTGAAATTCTTAAGTATTACTTATCCATCCTGTGACATCATTTCCTGTCCGCTAATTATCCTCTCTTTCTTGCATGTCACCTTCGTGCCTTGCTCTCCGCTCTGCTCCTCCTTCTCTTCCTTCCTTTCGCAACTCGATGTTTTCCTCTTCTTGCTTCTTCCATCTTCGTCCTCACCCACTTCCCGCGTCTTCTCCTTTCTTCCATTTCTTCTTCCTTATAGAGTTCCCTCTTCCTCCACCCATCCTTCTCCTTTATCTCCGTTCTCCCCTCCTCTTCCCCTCTCTTCTTCATTTCGTCTCTTCCCCTTCTTCCAATCTGAGCCGCCCCCCTCCTCCCCGTGTTATTCTTACAATATATACGTCCCGAGCAAGGGATCGCTTTACCCGCATAATCAGGAGAATTAATGCTCTTGACGCTAATTCAATTTGTACAGAAAACAACCCCCTCTTCCCCTCTCCCCCACCCCCCGCCTACCCCTTCCTCCTCCTCCCCCCATCCCCCGTCTTCCCCTTCCTCCTCCTCCTCCTCCTCTCTCTAATCCTTCAACCGCCTCCCTCCCTCTTCCCCGTCTCCTTCGCTCTACTTTCGTCTCATTAATAAAAGCTTCGGCAGATCGAATGACTTCTTCCCAGCTCTCTTTTTCCCTTCGATTTACATTACCACTTCCTCCTTTTTCGTCATCAGCTGCTCCTTCTTAACTTCGCCTTCCCCCGTCTCTTTTCTCCCGTCTCCTTAATGTTATCCTCGGTTAACCTAAACCTTCCATTCTTCGCCGGAAAGCGAGGGGGAAAGGGCGCAAAAACGTGAAATAAAATCGATTTCTTCTCGGTAAAGATACAGAAGTTACGTAAAAAGGACACGGCTGTGGGAATCGGAGACGGAGAGCTTGTGAGGGAGAGGAAGAGGAAGAAGCAAGAGGAAGAGGAAGGAAAGAAAGGAGGGAGAGGAAGAAGGGAGAGGGGAAGAAGAAGAAGAAGAAGAAGAAGAAGAAGAAGAAGAAGAAGAAGAAGAAGAAGAAGAAGGAGGAGGAGGAGAAGGAGGAGGAGAAGGAGAAGGAGAAGAAGAAGGAGAAGAAGAAGAAGAAGGGGGA